AGAAAATTTCTTAAGGTCTAGAGCCATCGCTCTTTACTGCAGTGATGATGAGCTCTAGTACTTGGAGATTCATTCTGTGTGCCCCCACCCTGGCATAGTATTAATGCATTTACATGAAAATCAACCTAACTAAAGATCTTTCACACTCAGAGATCCCTTCCCCTTGCAAATCATTTGACATCAGGTATAATGATAAATTGTCAACTGTCAGCAGTCTCCTCCATGGCCAACCACACCTGTAGTTCTACTAAAACCAAGCGGGGATTATTGCTTGTAAGAAAAGTGGAGTCTCTCGGCCAATATGAAGCCCTTGCTGTTAAGCAGAGCTACAAAATGACACACTGCTTGTCACTGCCAGGGAGCACTGCATTGGAAAAGGCTGGTTTCATACAAGCAGTGGAAGGACATGGTTTAACTTTGACCCTGTTAAACAGTTAAGCCCTGTATAACATTGTGCCAGGACTAACAGCAGCAGAGGGAATGAGGAGGCTAGCGTTTCTAGTAATGAGGCCACGTCATTATGCTGCAATCCTGACTTGCCTAGTCTAGGTCTGTACTGAAGCCCCTGGGCAAAGTCACTAGTTGCATTATCAAACCCCTGTGCTGTAATTCAGCAGCAAGCCATGACCCTATTCTCTAGCAGGTGTGGGGGGTAACTCCACTGCAGATGTAAATTTGGACTGTAACAGTTGCAATTTCTTTACCTCTTTTTTGAATCCTAAATTAGAAGTTTGATCATCTTTACACCCATGTCCTTTTCCTTCATTCAAATCATTACTGCTCTGCATTTAAAGAATACAGATGCCAAGCTCCAGGGTACTCTTCAGTCTAAGCATCACAAACCCTGCTGAAGGAGCATGAGCTGCAGGAGATGGGTTCAGCTGACCTCAGAGTTAAACGCATTATTTTTCTAGTGAAAAATATTTTAGAAGTAAAGATTGATAAATGCAGACCATATTCTCTAACACAACATCATCCTTTCCAAGTAGAAGGAATGAGGTTAAGAGAAACAGAAAACCCTTGAAGTGTTACTTTTCCATCTTACTTTATTTCATGTTTTTCTAGAAAAACTCCTCCATGATTCCACAAATTTAACAAAAAGTTTAAAATTCAGGACAGAAACAATCCTGTAACTTATTACAAACATGATTTTTTTTTTCCTTTTTTTTAAATCTTGGATTAGTCTTGGGCCAGATGAATTTCTTACAGCTGAACGAAGAACTCATTTCCCCAACACAACTTTTAATATCCTCAAAAAACAAGGTATTTAATACCTTGGTTTTAGGCAGAATACAATTTTAAAAATCTAGACGTTGAAGTACTTATACTTTCCTTAGGAGTGCAAACTCATCTCTTTAGTTCTTGATGACTATTCCGTGCCCCACAACAGCAATACCCATCCTTTTCAATCTCTTTAAAAGTAATAAAAAAGGTGCACGACGGTTGTCTAGTGTTGACACTACCATGTCCGCTACACTAGCGAGTGCCAGGCACCTGAAATGACAAAGGAAGCTTCTTTTGAGTACCTCAACTGTGCTATAGTGCATGCAAAGCCATTGGTGGCCGTTGGACAGAGCATGTGAAGTCAACTGAACCGATAGCAATGTTGCCCTCTGCTTACAGAGGTTATGATGGGGCTCCATAAAGGAAGATTTAATGTTTTTCCATCAAAATAAGCTCAAGATCTCTGACAAGAACCGCTCCTTGGTTGTCGCATCATAGTTTTGTACTAGTTCTGATGCTATTACCATGGAGAGCAGGATAATAACTGGTAGCTACATCATTGCACTTCCATATATTCAGGCCAACTACAGCAAAGCCAGTCTTACTACCATTGTGTCCAACGTTCTTCCTAACTGGCATTTTGTGGTCTAGACACAACCGTTCTATCCATTTCTACACTAAATGACAGTAATCAAAGCCTCAAGGCTTTATACACATCAGACCAAGACAACAGGAAAGCGTTTTTAACCCCTTTTGCCCTCTTATGCAAAGGTCAAGGACAAAGGAAAAGCTGTGTCCTAATCTCACATCCACATTACTCAAAACAATGAGACTCTGAAAGCCTTCAGATCAATCATTTGTACATGACCTAAATAACAAGCTGAAGGACATTTAAGTAAACTAGAGTTTTGTCCATTTTCCTCAGAAAAATCAGTATGGCTAAGAAGTCAATTTTGGAAAGACAACTGTGGGGTTTTTTTTTTTTTTGTCTGTTTTCTGTTTTTTGGGGGGTTTTTTCTCTTTTTTTTGTTTTTTAAACAATGCAAGTTATGATGCATCCTCATACAGATTTGAAGTGGTGCTAACATTAGCATTATCAACATTTCCTTCCTATTTTACAATTATCCATCCATGCTCCCAAGAGAGACACAAGAACAAACACTTTATCCACAAATACCTGTACAGGGCATGTTCAGAACACCACTCAGTCAGCCTACTAGAGAATCTACAAGTGGGACTTTTCGTATAGGTAACTAGAAGAGGACACAAAGGTTGGGAGGCCCAAGATTTGACCAATTTTGTCCTCATTGGCAGAGTCATTCCTCCTGTGGTCCCCACTCCCGCTGTACCCCCACCCCTCCCCGCCCCGCTCAACAAACAATAAATCTGTAAAACACCTAAGTACTTAGGAGAACCTTTTAGTAACAAACCAGCATGTGCATACAATGTAAGGAATATTTCTATTTCAGGTTTCCAAGGAGAGTATTATAAAGTCTAAAAAATCCGTGTGTAAAATACCTTTTATAAAAACAAACAAAATTCCCAAATTAATATTTGTAAAATCTCACAAGTCAAATCCAGGACCGGGCATAGCAGTGGCCATTGGGGGTCACCCAAGGCACTTCCACAGGGCACTGCTACATTCAAGAACATCCTCAAGTCTCTTGCTCCTTGGAACCATTTTAGGAGCATTATGAAGACAGGGAAAGAGGAGAGATGCGTCTCTGGTCCCTTGTGCTGTAGCTTTAGAAGCCACTTATACTTCCAGGACAAAATACTGAACGTGTGGGTGCGTGCTATGGATGAAGCAGATTTAGGTGATATGGAAGAAACAGAGGCAAGTAATCTAGGGAGAAGAGAGGTGGTGAAAGATCCAGGGACCTTCCACATGTGCCAATCAGTCAACACTGATGCTATTACTGCTCTGGGGAGGTAAAGGCTTCACCTGTCACATTCCCTTCCCTGGAGGATCTGGATCGAGGCAATACCGGGGTTTCGAATACCTCTTCACATACCTAAGAAATTTGTCTTGGGAGGGGTTTCTTTTTTGTTTTGCTTTTAAATTATGCAACATGACAAAACTCACTCCCTCCATCAAAGTCTGAACAAATACTACATCTAGAGCTTAAACAGACTCACTAAGCCCTAAACAGCACAAAGGATCTCCAGAGTTAAAAAGCTAAATCTGTTGCATATTGTGGCGTGACTTCCTCCAGCTAAGCCATATGCAGTTGCAGAGCTTGAGGTGATACTGCAGCTCCCTCCTTTTCCAGCAATCCTCAACCTTGCTGAAGTGCGTTCTTGAGCAGGGTTTCGATCCAGACTTGGAATTGTCCATCAGGAAAGAAAAAAAAACAGCTAAAAAAAAATCACTGTCAACATGACAGGGCACAGGCCTGGCATGAGTTTGGTGTTTATAGAAAGACATGTGAAAGATGGTACAAACAGACAAAAATCAACGGGAATCAGGTCAACATGACCCAACTCAAACAACCTTATCATCGTATTGCCGCTTCAATCGATTAGTTGCAACATTTCCATGATAAAGAAAGGGGTAATCCAAAACAAGGGACTGGAATTCAACGCTGACCGGTGGGACAGCACATAGAGGGAGCTCTCAAACTGTATTTCATACCTCAATGAGGTCCCACAAGAGACTGTAAAAAAGAGCTGGAAAGTCCATGTGTTTGTATAGGGTTATTCTGACCGGTAGCTTCCTTCGCAGTGCTATGCCAGCAGCCTATTTACATTTGGCAAAAGCTTAAATATTCATTGGAAAAGCAAAATCATTCTCTCTTAAAATACTGAATTTAGTAGATAAGAGTTTAACACAGTTTTGATTATACTTGTGGGACCTCCTCTGCTCCCTGCTAACACACAGACAGCATTTGGAAGTTAATACTAGTTTCACTAGGAACGTAAAATATTCTGGATTAGTGTTTTCTATTTCCTGCCCTTTTTTCGCGCAGGCAAAATCTTTACTATTTTTTGTTTTTGTTTTTTGTTTTTTGACAAGCATGTCCCAAGATAAAACACTCCCTTGTTTTGGTTTCCCCCAGAATACAGCCACTATTATAGGGGCCACTGTAGGAAAATTCATCCTTGAGAACATAGAACAAAAACCAATGACTTATTTTGGCAAAGTTATTCAAACACTGAAAAAATGAAAGACAGATAAGTCCCATCAGAGCACAAAATGCTTTGAAGATTGCTGTTCAGCTTTCATCTGCTAAAAATTGTCCACAAGAGGCATTTTAACAAACAAACAAGTCAAATCTTAGTAAGTCCCCTCCCCTGCCATGGCCGTTAAAAAAAACATAACAGAAAAACACACCCTTAAAATCTTAAGACCCAACTAGGCCCTTCTTATACATACAGTACATACATATATATATACATATATATATATATATATACACATATATGTGTGTATATATATATATATATATATATGTATATATAAAATATACAGCATACAGTTTTGTAGTCCTATTACAGTTAAAGCAGACTGAAAGGAGTGAGACTTTGTTTAGGAGCTTGGATCAATAAACAAGAGGTCTCAAAACCCCAGTGGGAGACAGCAGATTCGGGAGCCTCTTCAAAGAGCACAAACTGTCTCTCCAGGAAGCTGAAACACAGAATAAGGCCCTGTACTCTCTGCATATGGAACGATGCCTTGTAGGGATCAGGAACCAAGTTAGAGACAATACTTTGTACCAAACCACTACAGAGCCTGCAAGTGATCCAAAGTGGCATCTCTCCACTTCCTCTGCAATAGACCAACAGGACCCCTTGGGAAGCCTTCTGTCATAAGTCATATGGCTAGCTTTGTAAAAGCCAATCTTGTCTACACAGCATGAACAATTCTCCACAGAGCTGGGGGAAACCTGACTCGCTTGAGCCTCTCTGCCAGCAGGCTGGTCCCTAGATTTAGTGAAGAAACCACCGTCCAAATTTCTTCAGATCTCAGAGACACCTGGAAATGTGTTCTTAAACACAGTTTCTTGAAGTGAAACCAAAAAAGTCACTTTGTGCAGCTGGGAGCAGCACGTCTCTTGCGCTACTTAGTACCTGTGCCCAAGCGTACTTATGAAGCTAGGGAGGACAGACAGCGATATGGGTACTTGTTTGAAGACTACAAGAAAGTGCAGCTGGCTGTGCATTCATAGAGCATGGCTGTTCTCTAAGGCAGTGCTTCGGGTGAATCAAGAGAGTAAGAAGGCCTAGTTCCATGGGTTTATTTCCTGGTACCAAGAGATGGGATTTCTGGTTTCAAAAGCAGCCCATTTCCAAGACTAAGCGTCATGTTGCCACTGCTTCCAAGTAACTCTGCAGCTTACGGACGGTCGTTTCATCCAAGGAGAAAAGGTCAAAGTCAAAAGTTGTGTTGGTAACATTAAAATGCCCAGTTTCCTCAATGAGATTTACAATCTGGAGGAGAGAGGAGATGTTAGACGAGTTCAGGTTCAGGCAGACCAAAGCATTGGAAAGGATGGTTGTGAGCCACTGAACTCCCTCTCTTTCCCTTATGAACCAAACGAATTTTAAAGGCTCCCTTCTGATGAGGAAAGGGCCCAGCTAAAAATATACATATTGATTTGTTCAGTTTGAAAGAAGCACGGACACACCACTTCCCTTCTAAACCATCCCAAATTAGTTACCTCTTTTCTGGGGACTCAGAGGAGCTTAGTAAAGTATGGCTCTAAATCAGACAAGGTAAAAAGGGTCCTGGAACCTACATTTTAACCCTTTTTTTTTTTTTTTTTTTTAAAAAAAAAAAAGAAAAAAGGGGCCTGGAACCTACATTTTAACCCTTTTTTTTTTTTTTTAAAAAAAAAAAAGAAAAAAGGGGCCTGGAACCTACATTTTAACCCTTTTTTTTTTTTTTTAAAAAAAAAAAAGAAAAAAGGGGCCTGGAACCTACATTTTAACCCTTTTTTTTTTTTTTTTTTTTAAATAGAAGTGCTCACTTGCTGCATCCCTGGATTATTCCTATTTAAATCAGCAGAAGTCACTGCCTTACTGTATACTGCAACTGAAATTGCAGGTTCCCCACAAAGGTTAGGGGTCTGATTTAGATTCTAGATGCCAGCTAAGTCACAAGGAAACAGACAGCAACCTATCACAAAGCTGACAGGGGATGTCTACCTGTTGCAGCACATTGCGCTCACGTAGCGCCATCAGCCGTCTGTGAAGCTCCACCAATTCGTCAGTATAAGCCTAAGAAAGATGGATAAAGAGAAATAAAAAAAAATGACAAACTTGATGCATTTCCATCACTGCTGGCAAAATGTCATTTCCTCAGTGAGGACAGAAAGTTTCAGATGCCCAAGATCACCTCCCAAATTTAATTTTTTACTATTTACATATTTGTAAAGAATTAGACCCAACTGCTAGGACACACTAGGACTCCCAGAAGACAGATTCTTTGCCAATAAGGCTGCCTCAACATTTCTCATGCACATATCTGCAAACCTGAGCTTCTCTGGGAAATAATGACAACGCAAAGGAAGGATTCAAGAGAAACCACAGTGCAACAACCTGAAACTTCACCTGGGGAGAAGCGTCACTCCCAGAACACACACTTCTCTGGACTGAGAATGTTTTTGTACTACTATCTGAGACCCTACTAGCCTGCTGCCAAACTCGCAACTTCAGATTCATCCAAAGTGGCTGGCCCAAAGCAGAAAAGAAAATGGTTTGCAGTCTGATCTGAGAGCCCCATCTTGTGATTCTTAGGAATCCTAGTAAGCAGGCTCCATAAGAAAGGTATTAATTAATAATTTCAATTAAAAGGATTTCTCCATGGAAGGATCAGGGCAGAGAAGAACTTGGCAGATGAACATCAGCCAGCTGAAATGAGCATTTTGTTTAAAGAACACACACTGTTTAAGTTGCCCTCAAGGAGAGAAAGAAGGGACTTACACCGAGATAAACAGAGCTTTCAGCAGAGAGTGCAAAGCTCGGCGCAGCAAAGTAAAGTAAATGAACCGAAATTCTGAAGCATTCTGGTAAAGATCAAACAGATCTTGTTAATAAAGTCACCCTTGGAGCACCTCTGACAACAAGTGCCTTCAAAAGAACAGACAAACCCACGTGATTTTCTCCGAGAGACTGAAGGTAGAAAGGATATGGGATTCATTTCTTTATCACAAAGAACTTCATTTTCCTAAGTCAACATTTTTCCAATATTAGCATCACTGTGTTTGAGCTCAAATTGTTGCAATCTGAATGGACAAGAACTCAACCCAAGCACTTGTTTTCATGAAAAGTGTTCCCGCAATCCCTCTCTGCATGAACAAATTACCTTGTCATATGTTCCCTTCTTCAGGATCTTTTCTGGCTTGTTGCAGGATTCTGGACTCTTTCTTCCAGATGCCTGAGGAACAACAAACACACACATAGTGGTTTGTGACCAAAAATAGTTCAGGCAAGATGGAACTTTAATGGTTTGGGTGCATGGCAGCCCATGGAAGGAAATCCTCTGGCTGACCTGGACAGTGGAGAAGAGGAGCTCTGCAGTGAGCTGCATCCAGTAGTCCATGGCACCATGGACAGAACAATGCTGCAGGAATTGAGGGCAGGGGAGGCAAGAGGGGAAAAGGAAACATTTCTCCATCATTAAGCACTGGAAAAATACAAAACACTTTCTGCCTTGCTCGATTTGAACAAAAGGGTGATCTGTAACCTCAGCAGCTCTACAGTGTATCGCAGCATCTTTCAGTTTTGGATAAAGAAGTGAACCACGTAATATGAAAAAGTTTAAAGCCCTTGATGAATAATGCCCTGGTACCTGCAAACTGGCACAAACCAATCTCATTCTTGATCATCAAGATGCCTGTCAAAACAAAAAATCACATTGAGAGATGACTGAAAGATTATCATAATCTGTTCCTAGAAGCAGTGCCAAATTGTTCTTCAGAGTAGGTTTTCTAGCACTTTGTTTTCACTAGTTTGGGTTGGGTCTTCTCACTAACAAACTGAACTACCCTAATTAGGATATCACTTACAAGTTGTTTCTGGTTTTCAGACTACGCTTTCCACACATCAGGTTTGTTTTTATTACTCCTAATGGAACACCAAGTTTTCTTCTCATCTTGATATGAAACCCTACAGCTAACTAAAAACAGTCTTCTTTAGTTATCATATAAAATCTGTAGTGCAGTGCCAGAGATTCATTGATAAGGGCATAAAAATTAGTTTACTGCTCTTTTACAAATTCTATTAGATTTCTTGCCATTCTGCTGGCAAGATGCTTCAAATACAAGGTGCTTTTCTAAATGCCGAAGAGGCAGCAAGGCAATTTTCAGTCCAAATATGTGACTGACATTTCTGGGTACCTGACAATATTGTTTACTCTCCACTGTCACCGTAATTCTCAGAGCATGAATGACTTCCAAGAAGCCATATTATATTCTGTTAAAAGAGATCCTGGCCAATACATCACTCACCTGGAAATACTTTTTCAGGTCCTGCTACAAGGAATCTCAGATTTCTGCAGTTAGAAGGCTGCACTAACAAGTTATTTACAGATTCTAGTTTGCTTACATTGTATATTGTAAGATCGCCCTGTGAAGAGCACATTATCTGGACTGCCGAGCCACTGAGATTTGCAGGGCGTCCGCAGGCAGTCACAGAAACTCAAAGTGACTAGATTAAGTGGATGGTGTTCCTTGAAGTAAAAAAAAAAAGCATAACCCTCCAGTTCTTCCACAAGTAAAGCTCCCAGGGCATTCAGTGAGAACCTCGACCATTTAGCTTCTGCAGATCCAGGCCAAAACCAACAATGGACCATTGCGTTGACACCCACATTACAAATACCTTATTATTAGCTGGGGGCAGCTTCTGACTGGGAGGGGGTTCTCGACTCGGCAGGCAGGAATCTGCACTGTTATCACTGTCACTGTCGCTAAGGCTCAGTCTGAAAAAGAGAACAGCGCAGAATCAACATCACCAGTTAATGCAACACAAATCTACAACTTGCTTTTGGTTAATTAAGAAGTGACATATATAAATTAAAAGAACTCTTAATTGGATGGAAGAGAATCCCAAGAAAACATGGTTTCAATATGCTCACACTCCAAATTACAAGCCAAATGTTCCAAATTAGATCTTATTATTGCATGTGCTTCCACACAGAAGTTCAATGGCTGTATACAAGCAATGTAACCCGCTTTGTAATGAATGAAGAGGAAGATGTTGAAATTCCCATTTGAGGTGATGACCCTGCAGATGCACCACTACAAACTTCAACTGTATTTAAAATACAGACTCTTGAAGAAATTAGATTTGGAAAAGCATAACTCAATGGGAACAGTGTGGAAGTAATAACAGCAGAAACTAAAGCAAAGAAGTGAATTCTGTAGTGGATATAGGACCCCATTCAAAACCTACAGCTACTGCCAGGGAGGCAAGTGCTTGATTTCAAGTGACCAACATGAGATGCCAGGTGTTGACCATGGCAGCATCTGAAGAAATAAGTACGAAACCCAACAATTTCCATTCTCTAAAGTAGGAAATAGCTGTTGGCCTAATCCCATGGGAGTCACAGTCAATCAACTCTCAATGAGCACTAGCATTTGGCTGCATATCCGTAGCCTGAAATAAGAGTGTGAACAGATATCCTTACAGTGTTGATACTTCTCTAACCTCTGAATCAGGAGGTGTCAAACTTCTTCAACGAACAGGGATGAACTTCACATTCCATTAAGATTTGAGGCAGGGTACAGATTTAGAATATGGTCTTTAGTAACGTTGGTGATTTTTGGTTTGGTTTTTTGGGGTTTATTTTAGTGGTGGTGGTGGGGGAGACTTTTCAAAAGCACTTACAGAATATCATTGGACCTGTCATACCCCCTTAATTACTGACCATTTGTTTCTGCTATGTTTAAATTGTAATTCCACCACAAGGAAAGGGCCCTTCTCTTTTCTGTGCATGAGAGTATCCAAACGCATGAGACTACAAATCTCAAGCACTTCCCATACAGGTGCTCCCACAGTAAATATTTACCACTGCTCCTATATAATCTATTAATTATCTTCACATTCAGCAATGCTGCATGGAAAAAATGCTTCTGTTCCAAACCATGTTTCTACTTTTTGTCTCTCTCTTGCATCCTCCTTTCTCTTTTCCTCTCACTCTGTTTCCACGAGTCTCTTTTTTCCCTTCTTTAGTTGTCTGATCCATTTCTGAACACCTAGTCTGCTGCAGACTTAGCTCCTACCCCCTACTGCATCCCATCTGCTAAATTAATCATCAGTGAAACAGTCAATGCCGACTTCTGAAGTGTTGTCAAGCTTTCATGTCAACACTCCGGTGACGGGAGGCTGAGGAAGGGTTTCTTTTGTGATGCCTGTTCAGTGCCTAGCATTGTGGGACCACAGGCCAGGAATGACATTCTTATGTACCACTGCCATACAGATAATGATGTGACAGGCTTTACACAAACCCAGGAAAACAAGAACGTACTCGTTACACTCAGTACATCTTTCAAAGACTTCCTTCTCAACTGTGAAAACTCATACCTTTCCTTTTCAATGGAAACCACAATTCTGCCATGATGTCTGGAATTAGTTATGCAACCCTATACTTTGTCTCCTCTCCCATTTCATTTTCAAAGCATCTTAACCTCTCATCCTATCTCTTCCCTTTAAACCAATCTCTGCCATCTGTATTTCAATGAAACTGCTCTCCAAATATCCTGTAATAACTACACTTGAATGTGTGCAGGGTAGAGAGTGAGAGGGGAGATAGCTTATTTGCTGAAAAATGGGGTCTCGAGGTCACTAACACTGTTCCCAAATGCAGAATGTCCTTGGAGAATAGTTTCAACACAAAAAACCTGAAAAAAAATTCAGAAGTCAAAACAGAAGGTTTTTAACTGGGTTCTGTTGTTTGCTTTTTTAAGGCATTTCAATATTCTGTTTGGGAACTCCATTTCCTTTTTAACATTTGCCAAAATTCAGAGATTGTTTTGAAAAAACGGAAAAATCCTCTGGACTGACCAAAATGGAATTTTCCATTTTTTTTTCATTTAACCAATCAACAGCTTCTTGGTTCATGTCAAACAGAAATGAAATTCTGATTTTTCATTTGACTAATGAACAAAAAAATTAATTAGGGCCATACAGCCCCACAGGGCCTCTCTTCTATATTCATTCCACTCAAATAACTTTGGCAATTTTGAGCCCATCAACTATGTAATACTCTTCAAAACCTTCTTTTCTTGGGCTTCCGTGACACAATCCTTATCTAATTCTTCTCTCACTTCACTAAATGCTCCCTAATTGCATGTTCCTCCAGAACAACACAGGTCTTCAGGGACCCGTCCTTGATCTGATCCTTTAACTCTTGTGCCTTCACACACACCCCATGACCGCAGTTCCTTCACCTTACAAAGTTATGATGCAAAAAAGTTATAAAACATGCAAACTAAGGAGATGTGCCTAGGCATCTACCATCTTGATTTATAATGACCTGGAATCCCGGCTGACTGGGTTTGGTTTGACTGGTGTGTCTTCCCCAGAAGAGCTGTCGTCATCATCTGATTCCTCCGATTGCAGATCCTCTACCATAGAGCGCAATGGGCCTAGTGTTAGAAGCAAGGGAGGAAAAGAAAGAAAATGTTTAGCACAAATGCAATGTTATATAGCTCAATCCCAATAGGACAGCTATGATCTAAACTTTCTCTCTAATGCAACCCAAAGATGACATGATTTCTTAAAATGTCACAGATGTTTAACTCCTACTCAGACATACAGCAAGAGAGACAGCCTACACGTCTGCTTAAAACTAAAGAGAGGCCAAATATAGATTCATTTTAAAAAGGACATTCTTACTTTAAAACATTTCATATATTTTCAGGAGTGTATCTATTTTCCCCAACCCTTCCGTTAAAATAAAAAAAAAAGGACACATTTATTGTACATATGCAAGGCCCCATTTTTAAAATATGGTCCTAAACATGATATTTGTAATGGCACAGTGCCTACTATATAGCCATACACTGAACACAGTGGTAGATACTCCACCTTTTTGCATTCTTGCTGGACACAATAAAGCTTTTGAAATAGAATAAAGGGAAGAGCACAAGGGATGAATTTAATTCAATCAGCAGGTCTTATTTCTATTAACTGGGATTGGAAGAGGAAAGCCAGTGCCTTGCGATGCTGCAGTATAATCAGAACTGAATGAATTTATAAACTGGAAGTTTGTAAGCACAAGAGAGTAAGTTTAAAAAAAATTAAGATCAGAACAGAAAAGTCTCTACGGCCATATAAAGAGTTCATCAACTAACTGCCAGAGGAAGAGAAAAGTTTGTTTGCAACAAATGCAAAGGCATTACTTTTTTTTCTTTGCTGTAAAGTAACACAGGTATCATCAGCTCCTGTCTGCAAAACCAAACTAGGACCCTGGGCTCAGAGAGAGGCCTGGAAAAGCTTGTTTTTCACAATTTCATGAAACAGTCATAACATGCATTTAAAACGAAACAAACAAAAAACAATACTAGATGCACCTGAAGAATATCCCACCTTGACTGTGGTTCTGAGATGGTTCAAAATCCGAGTCCGAACTGGAGTCTGAGCTGGAACTGGAGTTGGAGGGACTGGACAGGACAGACTTCACCCCCCATAGAAGGGGAAAAAAGGGAAAAAGAATCTTAACCTTTCAAATCCAGACAACATTGCCAGGGAGTGCTCAAGATCTTCATAACACCACTATTCCATTCAACATCACTATCTACTGTACTCAATGTGTTGTGTTTTCAGTTTTTTGTTTTTTTTGTTTTTTTTAAATAAAACATACATGCTGTAATTTCAATGAATTTTAAGACCGTATAGGCATTGGAGGGATTAGGTGAGGAAGACCTAGTGAGGAAGTGGCAACACAAGCTTCTGATAACCAATCCCCACCCCACCCCTTCCTTCAAGTACTAAGACCTGGCTTGTCAAGCCTTGTCTGGGATGATGTAGTTGGGGCTGGGCCTGCTTTGAGCAGGGAGGGTGGACTAGATGCGACCTCCTGAGGTCCCTTCCAATCCCCATTTTCTAGGATTCTACTTTGACTCAGGTCTCAGAGTTTAACATAGCACAGGAGAACCTGAAACTCAAACTGAATAAAACAAGTTCGTTGCCAAATGTGGAAGATGAGTGAAATGCAAAATGTAAACAACCAGACAAACCATGGAAAATAGATTTGTAAAACTCCTTTGGCCTCAGATAGCTAGAAATTAAGGATATGTCTTATTTAGAACTTTCTGAATTTTAACTTGATGGTAATTCCTTTAACTTCATAGCAGTAAGTGCTCTTTTAGCGTGGCAGTAGTGGCTTTGCAGAACATGCTTATTTGACACTAATTTTAGATATTTTAAGTTGCTATCCAAGCCTTGACCTATATATATCAAATGAGAGAGAGAGAGAGAGAGAGAGAGAGAGAGAGAGAGAGAGAGAGAGAGAGTGTGTGTGTGTAATTTTAATGCCAATGTCAGCTATTATTTATTACACTGTATTACTTGCGGCTTGGACACTGAGAACCTGAAAATGAACACATTAAACCCAGGAGAAATCAGCTTCAGGCTTTCAGTGTCCAGGCAGAGAAGTTAACAATATAAATCATGCATAAGAAAAAAAGTTTAACTATTAGTACTACACAGAAATGTCAGTTTAAAACATGATTTTCTGCACTTAACACAGCATCAGATAGCTGTAAAATGCTTGTGCTCAGGTGCCAATGACCACAAGGGGGTAGTGAAGGATAAGTCAACCATTTGATTTAAATAAGAGAATGGACCATTAAAATTATTTCTTGTAAGGATTATCATAAAATATTTCTTACGGGTGTCTACATTCATACTTCCCCTATATAACAATGCAGATGGGTGAGGACTGGATAAGATTGTTAACCATAAGGACCGGGTAAGATTGTTAACCATACCTCATAACTATGATAACAATGCAGTGTTGCCTCTAATTCCTCAGGAAATTCAACATTTAGCTTTTCACTGTGGCTATTTCTAAAAACCCATTGGTTGTTCCATCCAGCTGAATACTAAAGCAGTCTCCTACTGATCCATTTTGTTATAGGAATATCAGTACTAAACAGCAAAGCACTGCAGACTTGGTAGTGTGTAGGTCAGTATTTAAACATTAACAAATGAAGACAGTGACAGCACTCTCTCTCAAAATACCTTACAGTTCCAGTTTATCACATAGATTAACCAGACCTGCAAGCATCTAAAGCCAAACCGGGAACCACAAGCGTTAAATAATATGTCACTGTATTTTACCTCCTGCTGAATAACAATGAAAATATTTTAACACTGGAAATATTTGCCATAGAGGCACACTGCAGCAAGGGCTGGAAAGTTTCTGATACGCAGTTTGGTTCAGGAAGATTAACCCCATTAAGCTGACAGCCACCTGCAGGTGCTGCAGTTCTCATCAACACACTGCTTCTGAATATTGTTTAGGGCAAGGGTGTCAAACTCATCTGGGCCTGCCAGTGGGATGTGTGGCACATTTTTCAGTTTACAGGCTGGATTGGGTGTAGAGACCCTCCTCCCCTCCCTTTCCCCCTCCCACTCTCCTCGCATACCTGATCCACTGCACACTTCAGGACTGTGCTGTCCAAATGCAGCCCCTGCTCAAGCCAGTCCAGGGCCTGTGCTGCAAGCGCCACCTGCAAGCACCCCAGGTCCTGGACCGGCTGGAACAAGTACCACATGCAGAGCCGTGTGGCTGATGCTCTATCCAGACTGTGCCACGCATGGTGTGTCCTGGCTTTGGGATCTGCACCTCTTGCAGCATGTGTCCCAGACTGGTTGAGCTAGCTGCCACATCAGATGTGCAGAGGCAGGAACTGTGCAGGCCCAAGCTGGCCCATGGACTGGTCCCGCACCATGGGTTTGCACTGTGCCCTGTGTGGGTCTTACGGGCCAGATGGCTGGGCCCACGGGCCACATACTTGACACCCCTGACTTAGGGAGTCAACACAACTAGTTCATCTCTGACTGATCAGCAGATGCTGTTCCCTAACTTTTCTGATCTCAGAGGACGACAGGGGCAAGAGATAAGGAAATTCTATTCTCCTTTCCCCACCGCCTCCCACTTCAAGTCCTTACTCGTTCATTTCAATCATCAGTGCAATACTCAGGCACTTTGTGTGGCTTAGATTACAACATTTCCCAAGAACACGGGCATAAAACATGATGCTGCCTTGGGCCTCACACAGTTACGCTGAGCAATCAGTGCCCCAAGTCACAGGGGGAAGGCATTTTTGAGGTACCTTGGCTACCAGTCATTTCAGACTTTCCATATACAGTAGCTAGTACCAAGGATTGACCTCATGACTGGCAATCAGAGCGGAGGAGTTTCAAGCTCTCACCAGTCCATCCAACTTTCAGTGAAGTGGTATTTTGTAGCTTACCCTGGTGCTGTTTGCCATAAGTCTGCACAGAATGTAAGAATGCCTGGAAATATGCAAGTAGCTGAGATGCTCTCTCTGAAATGCAAGGTCTTTTAATCTTGCTCCTGTACCCGTAATTAGTCTATGTTGAAGGCTCCCTGCTCTAAGATAGGTTCACATGATCATGTCTCATTCAGTGCCTAAGTATCCAGTCACTAAGTTTAGTGATACAAATATACCTTGTCTTCGATACAAAAATTGCATTCGGATGATATTTCTGATTACCGGGAGACGTTCTACAGCCTGTTATATGAGAGGTCAGGCCAAGGGATGGTCCTTTTCTGATCTTAAAATCTGTGAATCTGGGTATTCCTCTTCTGCAAATGTATAGCAGCTTTATGCAAATTGTTCCATTAAACAATTCCTCCTCTCATTCCATTCTGAGCATTGACAATCTAAAGTTGGGCTGAGCTTAACAGCTGGGTGGTATATTTGTGCTTGCAGAACAGCTAGATAGGCTTGCTTCTTCTGCATCTGCCACTTCCTGCCTCCAAAATCTGCTTCCTTCTCACCAAGCCAAGCAGCCTTCCTAATGCATCCTCTTCTAGAATAGTTTTTTCTCATCGGGCATTTATTAGGAATGATATATCCCCAAAGTACATTCACAGAAAGGCTACTTGTTTTAGATATAGAGCAGTTTCCTAAACTATGGAAAGCTAACCTTCCCGTCAGGAAAATGAAACCAACATCTTATCTTTTCCTCATGCAGCCCTGGCACATGCTAAAGGATTACATACTTTCTAAATATTGCATTTCTTCTGCTCCTGCAGTTAGCCCTTCTTGGCCTCCTTATGACAATTTTAGAAAAAAATCTGGTATAACTCTTATTCACGTGTTCTCTTCTTTCTTACACACCTTCAGTAGTAATACATTGTGTGATCATCTTCAACATCAACAACTGAAGTATCACAGAAAACTGATTTAGCACCCTCTAATTTGGATTACCTGTTATTTCAGGCTCTTTGCAAATTCAGGCAGACAGCACAGGTTAGCTGCATTTGGCAGGATCTGAGTGTTCTTTGAAGAGACTTTTTCTCTAAGTTTGAGACTATGGGGAACAAGCAGGAAGTCTATCTACATTTGCTTCAAATCTCCCCTGTTCTGGGGGCTATGGGTCTACACAGAATCAAAGGATCTCTGCCATACAGAAAAGCGTTCAACACTAGAAGGAGAGAAATTCGGCCTTTTCAAACGCTCCGATGAAAGTGCTGACTCAGTCAAGTGACAACTGCATTTCAAGCACCTTCACGTTCTACAAGTCACGGAAATCCCACTCTCTTTTTTGTACATATATTCTTAACACCCCCCCTCCCCCCCAAGAATAATAAAATTGCTAAAGTGATTTCCATAGTAATTAACCCACCCCAAAGCTTGGACTTGTGGCTTACAGTACTTCCAAAAACCTTTCATGGAATAATCAGCCTTATAGGCATTGTATATGATAACCCATATAGGCATCCGAACCTGTAAGGTACATCCGTTTCAACAGAGCTCATACATTTCTTGATTGTGAATATTTTAGCTCACAGAACGTACAAGTTCCATTAGCAGAGCTTAGAATTTTTTTTATATCAAACCAATTTAGCTAATAGACAGGGCAACACCACTAGCCATTTAACTTTAAGAGCTTATAAATTCTCTATGTGCACTGAGTTTATTGACTCGCTGAAGAGCAATTAGCTTCAAGCATAACATTTTATCTTCCATGGTCACCAGAATCTACAAACTGTACAAGAATTAGGAATTCAACTATGAGGAACTGACAGCACTCTCAGGTTTGACTATATTCAATGCGAAAATGCCAAAATCTTGTTCTTCATCTTTGCAAAGATATTTGATGCACTTAGTCTCATCTAAGTCTCTAAGACAGTTCAGATGCACCATTTTTTCCTAAAGTTCCATATTTGTTCTCAAAATACGTTTTAAAGACGACTTATGAAAAAGCCACTACTTTAGTTCATCAGAAAAACGCTGAGAAAGCTAGACAGTAATTGATATTACCAGTCTTAAACTTTCTTAATTGGTAGATAATTCTTATGGTTCCATCATCGTGGCAGTGCAGGGTACAAACCATCACTTACTCTTTGACTATAGTACCGAGAGGATCCAAACAGGATCAGGGTACAACTGTGCTAGGCACAGTGCACAATTAAAAGGATCCCTGCCCTAAAAAGATTACAAAGTCTAAACAGCAAGGACCAAGAGAAAGGGACAGATTCCAAGCAGAATAAAATGAAATGTCACTGGTTCCATGACATTTTGGTTCTTTTATTTTTAAATTCTTTTGAAGTGGCTAGGTTTATTTTATTTTTTATTTCCTCACATATGAGGTAGTAAGGAGAAGTGACAGAATGGGAAGTAAAGGAAGGAAATTAATAGCAAGCAAAGGATCTGGGAGGGTGAAGGGAATAAGGGAGACACCTAGATGAAGAACCTAGAAGTTGAAAAGAGTGAGAGAAGGATGAAGAGGAACACAGTGGAGGACAGATGGAAAGAGGCTTCAGCAAAATGATTAGGAGTGGGGAAAGCAGGAGGGGAACGGAGCAGCCAATTAATCAGCAAAGAAAGTATGCCCACAATGAAAGTTGGAGACGGCATGGTCTGATGGTGTCACCAGAGTCTATAGGTACCTGCTGCTGCTGTTGCTCCTGACGGTTTGACTCTCTGGCTGGCTCCACCCTGGTAGTTTCTCCTTTCCCTGAGCCCACATTGCTGGGGTAAGGAGTGGACCCAGACAGGACCCAGTCCCCCTGGAGGGAGAGATTGTCTCTGCACAGATCTGGGTCTCAGGGCAACGGGGAAGGGGTAGACCCAGATGGATCTCCCCCCTCTTCCACCACTCCAGACACGTCATGCACACATGCAATATTTCTACAATTTACACGAGCATCACAAATCATGAGAAAATTACACCCAGGGGTGGATTTCAGTTGTACAGATAAACTCGCATAGTTATACGTTTCAAGTGCTGTGCCTGGAATGCCAGACCCTGATCTACTGCTTGAAAAAAGTTAAAGGCTAAATCTAGTGGTGCAACCAAGAAAGATCTCACATTGATCTTTAATTTCTACTTGAGAGCCATTTAAAAAAAAAAAGCTCAATTTTTCATCTTATAGAAGAGACCGGAAACAGCCCTTCTGTATCTTCAACAGAATTCACCCCAAGCAAGTTAAGAAGCCATCACTATCACTTGGATAATTAATATGTCGGAATATAAGCAGAATTAGGAATTGCACTTTGACATATCAATATGCTAGGAATTAAGAGTTGTTTTGGCTATCTGTTCAGTGCTAAATCAGTGATAAGAAGTACCAATAGGCCAAGTGGCTGGTGAGAATTTTAAGGCATCTACTTCCAAGCATGGTTAGAAGCAATATTCTATTCCATTAAAAAGTCGGTATTCTTGTTGTGCAACATGCCTTAGTGTGTGCAATTGCTGTCTTGCCTTTTTCTCAACTCCCACTTCAATTTTGAATGCACTTTGGTGGCCACAGCTTTGAGACCTGCTGGAGCTGGAAGCCAACACACTGTACCTTCTGTAAACTGCAGCCCTCAGAGATTAATATTTTACACCGTTTTTGAAAAGTTAAATGGTAATGTTTTGACTGATAAATCATGTTGGAATTCAACACCCAATGCCACATAACTTACCAGGACTGCTTTTAAGTCCAGTAAAGATTTTCAGGCATGTCCCCTAAATTATTTATCAGGAAAAAAACAAAAGAGTCTGAATTTCCCTAGGACAAACCAGAGTCTCTTCTGCCTTCCTCTAAGGCAATGAAAGAGATTAGGTGATACTGCTACACGTGATCTTAAAAAACAAAACAAAACACATCTTATCTCCCGTGTCTGTATACAAAGCATACAATTCAAGGGATGATGAGAACATAATGCTTTTATCTTAAAATGTAAGTGGGATTTAACTCCTACCTAAATAAAGAGTCCTTCCATGGCTCTGACCTCCCTGATGAGTACATTTTGACTGACATAAAATAACCACAATAGGAAAAAAAATAAATCAATTTTACAATGTTTTAACTAATGGAACTGCAGCTGCAAATGAGTAAAGTAAGAATATTGGCTGAGTCACCTCTGCTAAATCCCAATATCCAATGAATATTTTTAAAAGTGCCTTGAAATTCCAGTGTTACATTTGAAGAGAAGCATAGTGTCCAGAGGGTGATCGGGCCAGTCTGGGGTAATGTATGGCTCCAGCTTGATATTTAAAATGAAGATACACTGGGCGTTTATACATAAGCTCTGCACAAAGTGCCAGGGACACACACACGCTGCTTTAATTACAGCAGCTCTGGAGCCGCTCTAATTAAAGCGCCTGGAGCGTCACATGCATCAACGTCCCTGCCCTGAAAAGTGGCAGTGGGGGTGTTTTAACTAAAGCACATCAAAAAAGCTTTAGTTAAAGCACCCCCACCACCATTTTTCAACACAGGGATGCCAATACATGTGACATTGGAGTCTAATTACCGTGCTCCAGCAGACCCGATTACCCGAGTCTGCTCCAATGCACTGTAATTAGTGTGTTGGTGCAGCCTCGATGCACGTGTATGGGTACCATTAAGCGTAGCCCTTAGGCTCACAGCATATGCACAATCCAAGTCCCAAAGTAGGTAAAATTTGGGATGAAATGGTTGTACAGACAACTTCAAGACCAGGGCCAGCTCAACAGTAAACCTCAGCAACTGTTTATTTTATAGCATTGCTGAAAAGTAAGGACTGGCCTAAAAAAAAGAAAAAAAGTGTTAAAAAGTGACAAGTCTTAGAGTCAATTACTGTTTTGTGCACCTCTCTGGCCAAATATGTCCTGCAAGACATTTTACATTTCATTCTAAACCAGGAAGAAGAAAGTTTCTTTTGAGACTAGCCTCATCCAGACTAGCACCGTATGGAAGTTTTCTAGTGCGGGTTGGATCAGGAAACTTAGGCCTTACCTTTACAACTTTCTTGCTGAACTCAGGACCACTGCAAAGTAAATCAAACCCAATCCACTTGCTCCCACTCTAAACATACAAAAGCCCAGAAATGAGATGCAGCTTCGAATAGCAGTGAGCCTTCATGCTGGCACCACTCTCAGGTTCTCCCAAGACAAAGGACTGCACTTTACTGGTTTTTACTGGCGGCCTTGAGAGTGAGTTGGCAGGGCTTATTTCCCAATTCCAGGCAAGAGAGGGGAGTAGTATAAACATGGCCTTAATGCCTCAATAGGCTCCAAGTGCATTTTTCTCAATGCTCCAATTACTTTCTGACTCTTAGCAGCTACATGTAGGCGACCCTTCCTCTCCCCCAACGCCAATCTGAGTTCGATGCAGAAATAAAAAAAGGTAAAGTGGAGGAAATACTTCCTCCACAGCTACCTAAAATGGCAAGACAATAAGCCAAGCCCTGCCTGTGGTTTAGTCTTCCAGTACTGTGCACCTGAAAGGCAGAGGCAGAAAAAGGACCACGAAGCAAGGCGCACAACACATGGATTGACTTTTCCACCAGGCACAAGAAGAATGCTGCTGTGATTTGATTCAGAACAGAGAATGGAGTGCATAAGCATTAAACAACACCACTTAAGAGAAGTGACAGCATTCCCCACCTCCCCAAGGAAGGGGAGGGGTAGCGAAGCACCTCTGCCCTCCCTCTTACCAAGACGGCTGGGACAAGGGAGTGGAAAGGAGTATAGCTTCCCTTAGCTCTAGACATCTACACCATGACTAAACGTCCTAAAATAAGTCAACGCTGATATAGCCAAGTCCCACTAGAGGGCACGTGGACCAGTCACTGCAGGTACCCAACTTTATTAGAAATCTTAGCACAGCAGGCCAAAGCCCTTGGGTTAGCAGGTGTCTGGCAGCACTGACTAATGCACTATATTCTCTGTTCTTGGCATCGGTCTCAGACAAGTCACTATAATTCCTTTTTTTATTTTTATATAGGTTTTCCAAAAACAAAACAAAAAAACCAACTCCCCCCACAGATTAATTCTCTCATTTTTACACTGGGATCGCGCTGGGCTCAAAACTACAATTTCAAAGATGCTAAATGGACATAAGGCTTGTACCCCTATTCTGTAAATGTCACTTCAAAGAACCCAAATATGGATGACACTATAACTTAGACATACATTTCAAGATTAACTGTGATTGCAGGCAACTCCTTGTGTAGCGTTGAACATGTGAAGCAGTGGGAAAACTAGGTAGGGAGGACAGGAATCACATGAATTGTGAACTCTGAGCACTGCAGTTTTGCTTGAAATATAGCTATGCAAAGGCCATCTGACTGCCACCTTAGTCTCTGGATATTGTACAGCATTTTCTAAGCGTCAAACCACATGGCTCATCAACCCAGATAAAAAGAAGAACCCATTCTCACCTCTGACTTAAAAGAAGTTTCATCCTCTGAATTCGACTCCTCCATCTCCACAGGTTTTTTGATCTCCTTGGCTTCACTTTCTGATTTTACCTTTTCCACTTTGGCATTCGTCTTCTCCTTGGTTTGCTTCTTCTCTGGGTATGAGGAAGACGAGGTTCGAGGAGAAGTCCCTGGGATGTTCTTCCCCCCTTTGGAGCTGCTCTTTTTTTGCTTTTTGGCACTAGGCTTTGGTGACTCCACATTGGAGGGCCTTTTGCTGGAAGACTTTGACTCCGGCTGTGGCCCACCCTTTGGAGAAGTGTTCTCCAGTTTGGTCTCTTTCACAGCCAGTTTTGGTTCCTTGAAAGCAGCTTTAGGAGGTGCTTTCTCCTCCTTAGGCAGTTTGTTCTCAGCTGGCTTTCTAGAGGAGTCTTTCAAAGGCTTGTTTTGTTCTCGTTCGAGGTCTTTGGAGGAGTTTTTGCTCTCAGAATCTTTCCTTGGCCTCTCTCTATGCTCCTTGGTTACTTTATGTGGTTTGGATACTTTGCTACTGTCCTTGCTTGCATCCTAAAATTCAGGAACAGAAGGCTAGGTAAACGTCTAAGACCCATTTGTAACTATTAGCCAAATGTGCATGAGCCATGGAGGAGACAATATCAAGTGTAAAACAAAATGAACTTTTACACTAAGGTATTCTTTTAAAACAAGCATTCTAGAAACAAAACAAGAAGCTTACCAAGCTAAGTATTTTGCTCTGCCAAAGCAAGCTATAGTTGCAGCCTGCTCCAACATGTGCTATGTATCAACTCATCCTATACTGGAGCTTGGCAAAAACAGTAAGGTCTCTGATAGTTATGACAGAACCATGGCTTGCTACCACTATTGATCTTTATCTACAAGCAGTACATACAGATCAGATGGAATCTGTCTGTCTCAAGGGACAGGTGAGAATTATGGGGAGGGAGTAAGTAAGTCTGCTTTCACTTGTGGGTGACCAGCCCACTCAAGGCCACATGTGATCTTCAGCCATCATGGCAGGAGGAGAGGAGAGTCAATATGGAACGGAGAGTAACAACAGCCTCTCAAATTCAGGCATTTATACACGTACCTTTTTGTCCTGCAATACACTGGACTTCTGGCAGGTCAGAGCAACTTGATTAATCGAGTTTGCTCCACACGTGAGCTGATGTGCACCACATGTAGCTGTATAAGTTGCAAAATCCGTGTCAACATGCAAAAAATGGCTGCGGTGCGCTTTTGAACTAAAACACCTCCAATGTGTTTTAGTTCAAAAGTGCACCGCCACCATTTTCTCAGTGCTGAAGTGCATTTCGCCACTTAAACAACTGCAGCGCAAGCATGTGCGCAAAATGCCCTTAGTTTCTATTCCCTATTCACCATGTCCTAGTGTTTGATTTCTGTCAAAAAGAAACTGAATTGGTCACTATCGAAAAAGTTACTGTTACCCTGCTGCATACCATAAGCATCAGGAGAAACTAAAAATGCAATTCAAGCTTAGGAACCATAGGGAACATAGATAATGGGGGCTGGATACAGAACAGAAGGGTTTAACCTAATGTTTTGTGTTATGCATACTAGGACAAAATACAATGCAATATCTTAAGAGAGTTACCTCCCATAGGCTTAACTACCTATATACAAACCTGGTTGCATTAGGCTAGTGGAAAGATAATTTCATCTTCTTCTGAAGCATTAGGAATAAGCTAATGCTGAATGGAGGAAGTTTTGATTCTCTAATCCAGTAGCGCTCAACCTTTTTGGTCCACGGGCCGGACTGACAGTGCCCAGGCTGCCCATGAGCCAGATCAGGCTGATAGTCCCAATCTAGCATAAGGTAGGTGGAGAGGGGGCATCCCAGCTCCAACCTGGCTCCATGGAGGCAGGAAGAAGGGAGGGGGCAGGCAGGGGGTGTGGCCCAGCTCTGTAGGGGAAAGGGGACATAACCTGGCCTCAAGTAGCTGTGCAGGGCTCAGAGTTGGTAATTTGGCAGGGGACACATTTATTACCAGTACTCCCTTGCACCAAATTTCTCAACCCGTGGGGCGCCCTGCGGGCCAAATACCGATGGCTCTGATGGCAACTGGAGGTTGAACTCCCCAGCTGGAATGAGACTGAAATCCTAAGGCACTCTGACCACAGCTTCTGAGATGCAGCAAAAAGATCCAATGGTCAGAAAGAACTTGATTTTGGTTTTAGACTGAGGCTAGGGAACCATCAGCTCTAGCAGCTCATTGTGCAATCCCAGTTCTCTAAAATTCCTCAAACTTCTCTTTCATTTTTCTAAAATTTCACTTCAAAGGTAGCAGCAAAACACAAGAACTCTAAAGGAATCAAGGTGTCATGGCACCCCAGGGAACCATGAGATCATTTTAAGGGTGCCATGCAATATTACCTCATTTACAGGCATATGCACACCTATCAGATTCACAAGATAAACTCAAGAGTTTTCAAAAAGAAATCCACAGCATCAAAAACATTGTGACGCTGCATTCTTAGTTCTTTGCAACAAAAGAATCACTCCATTGTCAACAAGTGAAAGCTGGAAGCTAGCACTTTCCAAAGGGTGCCTTGAGTCTAAAAATGTTGAGAACTACTGCTGTGGTGTACTGGGACTACCTAAATCTGTGTGGATGAATGGGTAAGTTATTAGACAGGAACCCCCACCCCCTAACAGGCCGGAAACTGAGAATGGCAACAATGATCCCTGAAGACTGCGCCTCCTCCATGATGCCAAGGAAATCAACTTCGCTGCTTAGAAGAGAACAGCACAAAACAAAAAGGTAAATTTCCAGAAGTAGAATTCCAAATAACCAAAATGACTGCATAACATGCCACTGACCTTTGACCCATGGGATGGTTTGGTCTTCTTGGGATCAGAGAAGGCCGAGAGTGGTATTGTGGGTAACATAGGATAGTCAGGACTTGGCCTGGACACAGTTTCTGCTCCTTCTGGCATTACCATCACCTAGTAATAAAACAAAAGACAAAATTAGCTGCGAGTAAAGAAGTACTGCATTAACATGATTATTCGTGGGCTTAGTGACTTAATGAATGGCCATTTTTATTCAAGCCTTTTTCCTCTTAAAGAATGTAAGGAGCATCTCCTGCTAGATTACCATTTAAGATTCCCAACACTATGATAACACCTGAAACGGAAAATATTCAAATTCATGCCCATTCTCTTATGTTCACAGGACCTGGAGAATTTTTGCAACCAGAAATTGCCGTGGTAACCAATTTATTAGCAAGATCAGAAGCACAACATGAGGAGAACCACAAGAGGCCAAAATGTCTCGATTCCACTGTATTCAGTCAAAGTAATTCAACTGTGAAGTTGAGGCTGGAAGGAGAAAAAAAAAAAAGCCTCTTTCACATGTTTTGCTCATGAGTAGGGCCTAGTTTAAATTGTGATTTTGCATTTTTTTTGGTGAAGACCACAAAATTAAGTGATTTTCATGACAAATGTGATTTGCAACAAAATCCCATGATATGGCCGCTTGCTGAAGAGTTTCCCAGCAAGGAGCCATATCATGGCATTTCACTATAACAAAATGAAAAATGGGGCCACACGACCTATGTCCCCTTCCTGCCACAGCAGTGCCTAGCCAATGAACCCGGCCCAAGAGGGGGAAGCCGTCCCCCAGAGGCCAGCATTCCCGTGGCACTAATCCACAGGCACAGGGCAGCTGCAGCAGGGGGATGAACCACATGGCCTCCCCCAGCACAGTGGGGGCTTAACCGCCCCCCAGCCCGGCATGTTCCCCAGCCCACCATCCCCCAGGACTGGCTGCCTGTAGCCATGTGCCCAGGGAGCTCTTGCCTCACATCACAGGGCAGCCTGGCATGCTGGGATCTGTGGGGCAGGGGTGGGTGCAGAGCCCTCAGGGCACAGCGCCAGACCCTGCTCAGAGGAGCTCCCAGTCTGCAAGCAGGTCAGTGCCCTGGGCCAAGGTGTTCCTGTTGCTCCCCATGGGCCAGGAGTTGTGCTGAGAAGGGCCAGGGCAAGCTGTGGCATACCTCCTGCTGGCATGGCAGTGTGAAGCTGGATGCCTGGTGCTGGGATCCCACTCCCTCCTGGCTGATGCGGCTGCTGCCCCCACTTAGCTCTGCCTCGGAGGCACTCCTCTCCAACTGCTCTCCTCTCCTCTCTAGGGGCTCTCCATTAAGCCCCTAGGCCTGGAGCTGTAGCCTGGAACCCTCCCCACCCACCTGAACCTAAACCTGCCATATCAAAATAGCAAAATCAAAATGAAACAAAGGCCATCAAAATAGCCTCAAAACAAAATGAGGCTAGCCTAAATGTTTTGAAAGTTGAAACGTTTCGACCATAGCACTGGGGATGGGAAGTCAGTCCAGCTAGGCTGACTTCCTATCCCCAGCGCAAGATCCGGTAGGGGGCGGGAAGGCAGCCCACTGGGATGCTTTCCTCTCCCCCACCCCGCACAATCTAGCGGGGGTGATGGAGAGGCAGCCCAGCTGGGCTGACTTCCCGCTCCGCTGGGCTGAGTTCCTTTCCCCAGCCCCATGGTCCAGCAAAATGTTCAAAACAGTGTCAAAACAACCTTACTGTTTTGACGAAGTGAAACAGTGAGGCTTTTCAGCTCGAAATTATATTCGATACAAAACACTGTTCTGTCCAACCTCAGAACTGAAGTCAATACGGAACAGTGCCATTTCGCACAGCCCTATTAGCAAGTTGGGCCTGCGAGCTAAACCAGGCCTTACTCAAGAGCTAAAGGTTCAAAAAGCTTTTAGAAGTGTCATGTCATATAAGCAATTTGCAGGGAATCCATCCTATTTCTAAGCATCTGCCTACATCTGATGATGTACTCAACTTTAATATCCAAGCCTAGAGGAGAGCAATAATGCATGACAAAAGCTAAACCATACACAATGTTAAAAAGAAAAGTGCAGCTGAAATAAGCTGCTGCTTCTTGTTTCTCACTTCTGAAAAAGTTCTAGACAAACTGACTTTGTATTTGGTCGAGTAACTAATACTTCCTCTCCAGAGGTCACCTGCTTGTAGACAAACTTCCTAACAAAGGAATATATTTTACTGTTCAAGAAAGGAAGATAGTAGGCAACCCACCTGGCAATTAACTCAAGAATACCTCAAATAATGTGATGCAAACCAGGACAAAATTATATATCCAGGGTGGCCTAAAACTATCTCGAGACAAACTCAGACAAGAGACTAGAAAAAGACTCGTTAAAGTGTTAGCACACTGGCTACTAACTGATTAACCTCACATGGAACTTGCTGACAACCTGTACAGAACTACCTGATATTTCACCAGTTAAGTCCTCTGTACCAATTTCCACAACAGTGCCACAGATGATCCATTGTGCCTGCTTTGTCCTTATTACTGCAGCTTAAAAGGCATTATCTATGTTTTGTTTTATTTTGTTTTTTCAAACTACTTTGCCAATTTCTTCCCTCCAGCTCCTATTCTTTTTCTTGCCTTTTTTCATTTCTTTTTACCAGGTGCCAAATCTAACACTTGTAATCCATTCGCTACAGTCTTGATCTTCCATGTTCCTCATTTTCCTTTCATTCAGTTTTCCTTCTTTCTCTGTTTCCCAGGCATTTATTCCAGCTCTATAGTTTCATAGTTGGTAGGGTCGGAAGGGACCTGAGCAGATCATCGAGTCCGACCCCCTGCCATGGCAGGAAAGAGTACTGTCATTTTTCCTTCACTCTAATTTATACGTTACTTATCCCACTTAATTCTCTCCATATCTCCTTGCTTTGCATGACACAATCAACTTGAAAATTATTCAATACTCATTAACAACTGGTGGCCATCACCTCTTTGTGGATGAAAAAGATGTACTTCCACATGCAGAGACAGGCTCTCTTCTCGGGCTGGTGTAAATAGCTCAATGTGAAAAACATATTTTAATACTTCTCTCTAGTTCTGCTTTCCATGAGGTAGACCACTGCCTCCACACTCAAGAAACAGCAAGTAGCCAGGAGTGCCAAGTACTTAGCTTGTTTGTGGGAAGAATGAATAGAGACACCTCAACAGCCTTCCCCCTTTTTTTCAACCCCTGTTGACATGATTGGTTGCACTTAATGGCACCAAGCAGATCATAAAGGGAGCTCACACAATGAAAACAGCAACAACCAGATGGACAAGAAAACGTCACCATCCAGAGGCATTCACAGAATACCTGAAAACATGATGTTCTTACGACCTTGAAACGGCAAGTGGTCTCTCAAACTGCATCTGGGAGCTGAAGAATAGCATTCTGAAGCCTCTAGCATTGCTGTTAAAATCACCAGAACCCAAATTTGGGATAATCCCAGGATAAATGCAACAAACGGCCATACAATCATTTACCAGAGCTAAGGTGATCAGAAAAGGAGACTGTCTAAAGTAGAGAGAAAACTCTCACAACAAAATGAGCAGGCTACACCTTTTAACAAGCCTCTTCACATCTCTGGTTCTTCTGGCACTCACCCCTCCAGCCCTAATAAGTTTGCGGCGGAACTCCTTAGTGGGGTTGTTGAAAGTCAGTTTCTCGCAGCGAAGGTGGTTCACGGGTGGGTTTCCCTCCAGATTCAGGAACAGGTCGTATGTAAAGCAAACTTTCTTCGGTTCCTCCTAAAACCAAGAAAGCAGAAGACTCGTGAAGGATCTTGGCAAGTATGCTCAGTTAGAGGTTTCAAGCGGTCAGCCCCAGGAATACTGAATGAACCCTTGAATGAATGTCACATTCATAAGAGTTTTCATCCCAAGATCACAGAAAACTTTTCAAACCTAGGCACAAATACTTCACTTTTTAACATGCCTGTACTGAAGACCTTATCTAATATTCACACCAGAAATTGAGACATAGATTCCCCCTGCAGTAAGGAGTCATATACAAGGACACTAACTGACACCTGCCAGAACCTACTATTTACAGGGCTCCCAGGCAGGACATAAGGTTCAAGAAAGCAAATGTGAAGTGTGCATCTTGCTCTTTAACACCACTAGATAAACACAGAACATGTCTACTAATCCCCTTCAGGAAATACTGGAGCTATAGCAAAGAGCGTAAGAAATACACATTCTTTAATATTTAGGGAAAGGACAATTTCTCGATTCAAAGGGGCAAGGGTACTAGGGAGATTAAAGGGAAAGTTTATTAGAGTTACAAAATCCCTTCGGATCTGCTGACTGCATGAGCTGAGTGGATGTTGCCCTCCTCCTTTAAGCTTTCTAGGATCTATTAATGAGCAGTCTTTAGCAGCTGAAATATGGGGTTTGTATGCAAGTCCCAGGGAGCCTTTTTAGTATTTGCAGCCAAATAGTTCACTTTCACTTAGAGCATCAGTGTGTAAAACAGCCTCCCAGCAGACTGCTACTGTAATTCCTTCTACACACGTATAGAATTCCTTAACAGTCTTTATCTTCTTCAGAAAAAGTAATATTTTCTACTAGTACCCACATACTAGGTTAGTAAGACAACACACACTTGAGATTTCTGCCCAGGTTTACCGAAGCTGATATGAATGCTATTAGTTTTTTTCATGCTATGGAAGATTAAACTGTCTCCTACAATGTTATAAAAGGAAGAAACCATATGCTAGGGCAGGAGAATCTGAAAGCGAAGGCACTTTCTGATAAATGAGAGGAACACAGTGTGTAGAGAGCGAATACTAAGTTAAATAAAATCAACCAGATGTATGGAACAGGGTTAATAGTTTGCGATGGGTCTAACAAAGGTAGTGGGTACAAGGACACAACTTTAAGCTGATAGTGTCCTCCTCCCTGTGTATCATCACCGGCCACCATTTTTGGCTGTACAACAAATGTGCAGCTATTAAGACAAGGGAATTTTAGACGCTGGGATGCTTTCAGTTTCTAAGCACACAGCAGTGCAGAGCGTAGCTCTATTGGTAGTGAAAGGATTCAATGGGCCGCACAGACAGCATCCTGAAGACGATTCTAAATTGCAAGGGGTGTCCTCCTAACAAAGGTAGTTCACCAACATAGCACCTATACAGCTATTTGCTATTGTCTTTACACTGCTCTGTGGATAAAGAAATAAGGAGGAATGTCCAACAAGCCATATACACAGGCCTGACAGTAGTAATAACGACAAGAAAGGATTCTGTCATCTTATTGCAAAGGCAGTGGTCTCTGGGAAGAGGGGACACCTTCCTCTACTGCCTTAAGGCCATACCTTTGATACCACAATTTCAAATGCTTTTCTACTCCCTAGTACTGCCACAGGCACTGAATTTGCTGACCAGGTCCCTACAACATGTAGCAACCATCTGTATATGTCCTACTCACTATGGCAGTCCAAAGCCGCAAGGATTTGGGTGAACTAGTATATCATCTTTCTTTCAACAGGGGTCTGCTTTAGACCAGTATCTCACTCCCATTTTGCAGGGGGAGGGAGAGAAAGTTTCAGCAATCTCAGCATTCAAGCTTAGGTTTCCCACTCCACGCTCATGGTTTGATTCGGTACCTTAGTGGGAAATACTACCATCGCCATGCTGAATTCTTTTTCGTACTTCAACTTTCAGAACTTTCCAAAACAGATGCTACAAGAACTGACCAAGCAAGCGTCACAGGCAAGTTCCAACCTCCTGATGTAAGGAATTAATGAATAAACTGTGTGTTCTCCCACGTGGCAATGAATTCTCACAAGCCTCAAGGCCAGAGCTGTCCCTTGGCGGGGCAAATTGGGGCGACCACCACAGGCCCCGCATTTTTGGGGCCCCATGGACAGTGCTATACAGGCCCTGAAGGTGCCACCACTCCATGCGGCTGCTGCGCACTGCTAGCCTCGCACTCTGGCTGCTTGTCACCCCCCCACCCCCCAATGCATTCTGGATGCTCACCGCCAACCCCACCCCA